GGCAAGAGTGATGCCATCTTGAAGCAAAACTGCCATGATGCCCAAGGCTGGACTCCTGCGCACCAAGCTGTTCTGCAGGAAAGTCTTTAAACAGCGCCTTTGGTGTTCATAACCCCTCCCAAAGATGCTTATCTAACCTCCCCAGTGGTAATGAGTTTTGGCAAGAAAGTCTGAGGTGTGATCAGCCGCCCATGTCTTTACCCTAAACGCTTGCTGTATAAAGATGGCTTTCTGGAAGGCAGGGATGGGGAGCCACTATCTGTTCGTAAGTCCTGTTGCTGTTCCTAAGTTCCTATTATTTCTGGCCAGGTGCAGTGGCTCACGCCTGTACTCTCAACACCTTGAGAGGCCCAGGTGGGAGGATCGCTTAAAGCTGGGAGTTCAAGACCAGCCTGAGCAACATAGCCAGATGCCATCTGCACATGTAAATTTTAGATTAGCTGAGTCTGGTGACATATGCCTGTAGTCCCCGCTACTCAGCTACCTGAGGCAGGAGCATCACGTGAGCCCAGGAGGTCGAGGCTGCAGTTAGCAATGATTGCACCACTGCACTCCAACCTGGGGGACAGACGGAGATCCTGTATCTTAAAAAAAAAAAAAAAAATTAATTAATTAATTAATTAATTATTTCAGAGAAACTGAATTTTTCAGCCTCTTTCTTCAGCCTCTGGACTCCCTCAGTCTTTGGGGGTGGGGTCTGCACAGACCTGCTCACCGAGGAATAGAAACCTACGTGGCCCGGGCCATGCCATGTCTCCGTCCCTGTGCCATGGTTCCTTCTCCACAGCCCCAGCTCATGTCCCCTGCTCTCGTTCTGAGCCCTGCCCATGCTCTCCTGCTGCTTTGCCTGTCTCTCCACCCAGGGATTTCAATCCATTACAGCGCAGATTCTTAATTGCAGCCCAAACTCACTTTCCTGCACTTCTGGAAGGAGGCGGGGCGGAGGAAAACTTTTCTACTCACAAGAGCTCCCGCTGGGGTTGTTTTCTTTTGAGGTTCAAAAGCATGGACCTGGCCTCTGGGATTTCAGGCTCTACACTTTCCCCACGGGAATCTGGATCTTGCCTCTGCTTTCTTTGCCTGTCCTGGTGAGCCCCCTTCCACTCCCAGCAGTTTCTCTGCAGTGTGGGTCCCTGCCCGGGGACGGTAGCCTGGGAGGGTGGGTGTAGAGAGTGCTCCAGCCCCTTCGGGACCCACTGAGAAGCCTCACAATCACCTGCTTCTGCAGGGAGCGGCCTCTCAGCTTCACGGGAGGGTCGCCGTGCTTCCCAGTGAGTGTCCCGCTGCTGTGTCCCAGGTCCACCTGCTGTCCCCTTGCTTCCCTCCGCATCCTACTGCACCCAGGTTGATGCTGTGCCGGACTGTGGCGCAAGTGACTTGTCCCCACCCATTTGTATTCTGCAGATCATGAGGGGTTCGTGGGACTATCTCCTCACCTAGTATTGTCCACTGGGTTTATGGTTTTGCTATCTGGTTACTGTCTTTACATGGGGATTCAGGGAAATTCAAACACTCTACCACCATCTTCCTGGAACCCCCTCCCCTCTTTGCTTTTTTTGGTTTTTTGTTTGTTTGTTTGTTTGTTTTTTGAGATGGAGTCTTGCTCTGTTACCCAGGCTGGAGTGCAGTGGCACGATCTTGGCTCACTGCAAGCTGCGCCTCCCGGGTTCACGCCATTCTCCTGCCTCAGCCTCCTGAGTAGCTGGGACTACAGGCGCCCGCCACCACGCCCAGCTAATTTTTTTTGTACTTTTTAGTAGAGACAGAGTTTCACCGTGTTGGCCAGGATGGTCTCGATGTCCTGACCTCATGATCCGCCCACCTTGGCCTCCCAAAGTGCTGGGATTACAGGCGTGAGCCACCGCGCCCGGCTTTTTCTTTTTTTTGTAAGAGACAGGCTCTTGCTATGTTGCCCAGGCTGGTCTCAAAACTGCAGCTCTCAGCTGGGCATGGTGGCTCACGCCTGTAATCCCAGCACTTTGGGAGGCCGAGGCAGGTGGATTACCTTAGGTCAGGAGTTTGAGACCAGCCTGGCCAACATGGCAAAACCCCACCTCTACTAAAAATACAAAAATTAGCCAGGTGTGGTGGTGTGCGCCTGTAGTCCCAGCTACTCGGGAGGCTGAACCAGAAGAACTGCTTGAACCCAGGAGGCAGAGGCTGCAGTGAGCTGAGATCACACCACTGCACTCCAAACTGGGCAACAGAGTGAGACTCCGTCTCAAAAAAAAAAAAAAAAAAAAAAAAACCTGCTGGCCTCAAGCAATCCTCCCACCTAAGCCTCACAAGTAGCTGGGATTGCAGGCTCAAGCCACTATGCCTGTCCGGGAATTTTTAAATTCTGGAGAGTAGAAAACTGCCAGCTGGGAGGAAGATGAGCACAGAAGGAAGAAGAGTAACACAGAGGGACGGAGTATCTTAAATTTCAAGGAGTTTCAAGGTTAGGCTGAAGGGCGAGGTCTGTGATGGCCCCACATGGAGATGCAGGCCCTGGATGGGTCAGGAGCCTCATCTCTGAGGCATCTTCCCTTGAGGCCCGGGCCTGGGGAGACAGGGCCCCCTCTGGCCTCCAGTGAGCTAAGCCGGATTATTCCAAGGGCTCACCTTGCTCAAAGTCCTCCTGCTCCAATTTCATGCCTCAATATTTTCCCTGAGCACCCTGGGAGGGACAGTCTAGGGGTGAAATGAGACCACACACACACTCAGAAAGAGTTCCGTCCTCCTCTTCCTGCAGGCTGCGGCCCACGTGCCTTGGCATCTGAGGACCCCTGCCGCGCCCCCACCCTGCCTCCTCCCACAGTGCTTCTGCCTGGCGGCCGTCTTGCTGTCCTTTGAACACACCAAGCCCCATTCTGCCTCCAGCGTCGTGCCTCCGTGCATGCTTGGTGCTGTGTCCACCTGCCAGTCCGACCTCCCCTCAGGCTTCAGCATGAGTGGCTCATCCCATCTTCAAGTCTCAGCCGAAATGTCACCTCTTCAGTGACAGCTGCCCAACCAACCCCCACCCATAACCTTTTCTCCCTGTGCCCCCTCCCTCCACCCTGCTGGATCATCTCCTTCTCTGTGTATGTGTTTTGCTTGCTGTCTCCTGTGAGCCTGGGAAAGTGAGCACTTGGAGTCAGGTCAGCATCACGTCCCCATGGCCCGTGGGTGACCAATGAAGGATCGTGGGCTGAATCCAGCCATGAACCCCTGCGGCCTCCCAAATTCCCACTAAAATGGCAGTAAAGGGATTTTCATTTTTTTTCAGCATGAGGACAAAATCAGGATGGACAGCCATGTTTTGGAATCTGAATCTGATGGACAAACGGCAATTCTCTTAGCAAGGTCGAGAGCACAGCTTCCTAAGCAGTAGGAGGGAAAGGCCAGGAAGAGCCTGACTATTCTCAAGAGGACTCACTCAGAGCTACTCCAGGTTAAAAGCAGAGGGCTTGTACAGCAGGCTCGATTCCACAGGCAGACATCTCTGCCTCCCTCTGGGGTGACAGCTCCTTCCTCCCGGCCTCTCCTGAGGGAGATGCGGGTGGTGATGAGCCTGACCTGCTGCCTGGCCCTGGGCAGGTGGCTCCACCAGAGCCAGGCAGGGACCAGGATCAGGGACCAGTGGGGCCGGGGTCAACCACTTCAGCTTCCCCCACCACCCCCAGGAGCCCACGCTTGGACAAGAAACTGAAAATGGCATCCCCCACAGGGCGGTGTAGGCTTTTGTAGTTAAGCCATCAAGGGGTCCGCACTAGTTCTCATGGCAAGACTCCACAAGGCCCTGTAGCCCCCCACATCCCACTCTCCCAGGGGGCTCAGCTGGTCCTTGGAGAACAAGGGATCAAGGGTGTTTCTACAGCACTGGAAGACACTCGATTGGGGTGTATTTGACCTGCTCTTGATTTTGAACTTAGCCCAAACCTTCCAGCCAGCCAAGGTCCTTGTCCCATGCACTTCCTCTGGGCAAGCTCTAAGGGGCCCCTTTCCCTTCCTGGCTACAGCTGTGCTTCTCTGGGGCCATTCTCTCCCCTTGCCTCATTCCTACCCACCAGTGCTGGCAGGAGACCCCTCTCTGCCAGCCATCTCTGCTCCTCTCAGCACACGGGCTCCATTTAAAGATGTGTTCTCTTCTCCAGACAGGGTCTGCAGTTTGGGAACTGGTCTTGGGTGGGACAGGTAACAGGATAAGTCCTGGAGACAGCTTGCCAGGGGCCAGGATGATGCTCGTAAGACCACCGCTTTGACATTGGCCTTGTGACTACTTTTTAGATAAAAGAGCTGTGAGTAGCCAGGGAGCTCAGCAGGCCACAAGCAGTCCAAGGGAGACGGGGCCAGCACCCACACCTCAGTCAGAGCTCAGAGTGGGGCTGTCCTCCCTGAGCTGGTGGCCCTCACCCTAGCCAATGTGACAACTGCAGGGAGGGAGGTACAGCCCCAGAAGAAAAGTGGTTCATAGACCGGGCGCAGTGGCTCACACCTGTAATCCCAGCACTTTGGGAGACCAAGGCGGGCAGATCATCTGAGGTCAGGCATTCAAGACCAGCCTGGCCAACATGGTGATACCCCGTCTCTACTAAAAAATACTAAAATTAGCCGGTCATGGTGGTGGGCACCTGTAATCCCAGCTACTCGGGAGGCTGAGGCAGGAGAATCGCTTAAACCAGGGAAGTGGAGGTTGCAGTGAGCCAAGATCGCGCTGTTGCACTCCAACCTGGGCGACAAGAGCAAGACTCTGTCTCCCAAAAAAAAAAAAAAGGGTTGTGGTAACCCCTGCCGGTGTGCCTACAGGAGTATGAGATTTTACTTACATAACGATCTCTTGCCAAAAACCTCAAATTTCCTACATCAAGGGATTCTATATTTTCAGTCTTTATATAATGTCCCCTTACACAATTTAAGATACTAGATTTTTGCCATTTCATTTGCACCCAAAATATATTAACTCCAGACCCCTGGGAGAAACCTATTGTTTTAATTAGCTTTCATTTAGGTATCATTAAAGAACTGATCACAAAGGGTTTCAGGTAAACTGGTCATTTTATTAGCAGTAGTACTGTTTGGCATAACAGGTTTCCAGTAAATAGGCATGGAGTTGCATGGAGGTGACAGAGGCAGGCGCAGGCCAGCTTCACTCACTTCTTCCACTCGTTCTTTTCGTAGTCCCACTTGGAGGCTAAGCCCTGGATGGGGTTCACCTTCATGTCCAGCATCCTCTTGGTCTGCATGGCCACCCACTCTTTGTCAAAGGTTTGCGGGAGGGGGCCGTACACTACGGTGGGAGACAGGTTATGGGCAAGGTGTCAACAGGTTGTTTCTACGCCAAACCCTTACACACATTAAATCCTCCCAACATACCAGCCACTAGATCAGCAGAGCCACCTACCACTCAACACCCGCTCAAACACACGGTTTCTGACAACTGGCAACCACTGACATTTTAAAATTATCCCTTTGTTTGTAAAAAGGTAGCAACAAAAAAAGCTAAAAGCAGAAGGTCCTCTCTAAAGGCGATGGATAACAAGATCTAACAAACAGAGCCCAAGGTGACCTGGAAGATCAAATCGATTCGGGTCTGTTATTAACCCACATCCACATTCAAACCAAAAGTACGAGAATATACCTATTCAGAATGCAAAAATGCCTGTTCTGCCTGGACAGAGAGAACCTCGGGGAAGAGTCGCTACCACGAGCAAGCAACTCAGCAATGCCCACACCCCAACGGTCAGGTCGGGACCCCCAGATGCCGGCTGCTGAGATGCGGTCCTCACAGCAGTCGAGACGGTCATTAAAGGAGTCCCCTTCTCCGTGCTCGAACCTTCACGAGGTCATCTTTTGCTAAGTGACTGGTGAGCACATAAACCGCTACTGAAAACATGGTGCGCTGTCCAAAGTAGTCAAGGTATTTCACCACCCAACACGCATAGTCAACTCTGAATAATCAGATGCTGGCTTATAAACTAACCTCCCACCACTTCAGTTCTCCAGGTCACCAAGGCCTGGAGAACAATCCTGAGATGCACTCTGGAATGGAGTCCCTATCTCATGGCCTCAAGGTGTGGAGGTCCCCCACAGCCCACCACTGGGCACTGCAGGCTGGAGCCCCAGTCCAGGCGCCCATGCCTTCCTCCCTCTCTACTCACCATAGAGCTTCTCCCACATGATAACGAGCGCGGTGATGCCGATGAAGAACATGGCAGTGCCCACAACCGTCTTCCACTCATTCGAGCGCCTGTTCATCTCGGCAAAGCTCTCCTTGAACTTAATGCGATACACTGGGGGCAGAGAGGACAGCCGTTTACGGGCACAAAGGTCAGCAGCTCCCTCCTCTGCAATGTTCAACCACTTCTCCCCAAAACCACACTTGTGAGGGAGGAAACACAGAGCTGAAGGATACACCAACCCGGGCCACATCATGGGCATGCACATACGTGCACACACATGCCCAGGCAGGCATGTGACGGGGAAAGGAAGGAAGAAAATACATGGAGTTTGCTTTAGGTGGAAATTAAAACTGCAAAATTGTTTCTTACTTGAATTACAGTGTTAGGGTCTATTTAATCTCATTATTTTAATGCCCCTTTCATACCAAACAGTATGCATTTTGCTGAGTTTCTTTCAATAATTTACAGTAAACAATGTCTTACCCAGCAGATATGCTGAGAGGCTACCTCCACTCAGCACAGAGAAGGGGGCCTAGCAAAAGATCCCATCAGCTGGCAGAGCACAAAAACTGGGGCCCTGGGACAGTGACCCCGAAACCGAGCAGAGCAGCCCTCCTGTGCAAGACTGTTCTCTAGACAGTAGGCCCAGAAGTGAGCAGAGGCTCTCACACACACACTTCCCAGAGCTGCTGGGCGCGCCTGTGAGTTCCCTCAATACCCACACTCGACTTTCTCATCCATGGAGAGGCTGCTCCAGGACGCCTTCTCCTTCTCCTTCAAGGCCTTCTGGCTGGCAGACAGGTGCTTGACATGGGCCACGTCCGGCAAGGGATAGTCACGCCGATCCACATAAGCTGGGAGCATAAAGTCTTCGCTCTTCACAACACTTTCTGAAAAACACATTGAATACATCTTTGAAAATCCATGTAGGTTGAGAGTCACGCACAAGGTGATACTTCTAAAAACCGAAACACACACACGTGTGCACACCTTGAAACCCTGGGTCATCTCAGGGGGTCACAGCCACTGTTTAAACAGCTGCAGGAGTGTGGTGGAGGCAGAACAGAAGCACTTTTCATCACAGCCAACAAAAACCCACCGGGGCAACTGCTAATGAATCCTGGGGCCAAGGTGCCCAGGAAGGTGCACTTCCTACATTAACAGTTACCTACAGGGCCAGGCGCGGTGGCTCATGCCTGTAATCCTAGCACTTTGGGAGGCCGAGGCTGGCGGATCATGAGGTCAGGAGATCAAGACCATCCTGGCTAATATGGTGAAACCCTGTCTCTACTAAAAATACAAAAAATTAGCCGGGCATGGTGGCACACACCTATAGTCCCAGCTACTCGGAAGGCTGAGGCAGAAGAATGGCTTGAACCCGGGAGGCAGAGGTTGCAGTGAGCTGAGATCGCACCACTGCACTCCAGCCTGGCGACAGAGCGAGACTTCATTTCAAAATAAAAAATAAAAAATAATAAAAATAAAAAACAGCTACCTGCAGACGTGGGCCAAGGCCTTCAGGGCTCCCTGAACAGGAGACTGGACAAAATGAAAGCCTATCTGCAAGGGACTCAAACTAATGAGGAAGAACAAAAACAATAAAACATTGAAAGCGTTTCAAGTTCAAAAACAAAGACACGGCCGGGCTCGGTGGCTCAAGCCTGTAATCCCAGCACTTTGGGAGGCCGAGACGGGCGGATCACGAGGTCAGGAGATCAAGACCATCCTGGCTAACACGGTGAAACCCCGTCTCTACTAAAAAATACAAAACACTAGCCGGGCGAGGTGGCAGGCGCCTGTAGTCCCAGCTACTCGGGAGGCTGAGGCAGGAGAATGGCGTAAACTTGGGCGGCGGAGCTTGCAGTGAGCTGAGATCCGGCCACTGCACTCCAGCTTGGGCGACAGAGCGAGACTCCGTCTCAAAAAAAAAAAAAAAAAAAAAACAAAGACACGTGAAAAGATAACCATGACAGCACCGTTCCAGGGAACCTGTGTCCAACCAGGACTGAGTGAGAAATCGTGCTAGCTCTTAGGAATGAGAATCATGCAGCCATTCATTCAAAACATATTTACCAAGCACCCTCTACAGGCAAGGCAGGGTTCTAGAGATGTGGGATCATCAGTGAACAAATCAATCATTCCTGCCTAGTGGCACTTACAGTTCTAAAAGTGGAGAACAAACAATAAACATAACAAATGTGCAAATCACATGTTTGGAAAAAGTACTCTGGGGAAAGAGTAGAGCAGGAGGTCATCAGGAATGTGTGGATGGCAGGAAACAAGGGGCAACGTCCACAGGATGAGGCCGACCTAGGAGCCCGAATGCAGAGGGAGCGTGCACTCAGGAGTCACAGAGCATGGGCAATATCGTGCGCTTCTCCTTTCTGGAAATCATGTGCACATACTCACATACACGCAATGAAACACACAAAACTAACAAGGCAAGCCACAAACTATTACACGTAGGAGGCAGGAAGATCTGAGTGAGGATTTCTGCTCTATCTGCTTCTGATATTTTAGTGCCTTCAAAGCAACAGGTATCATGAGGGAAAAAGTTCAGAAATCAGAAAGGTAAGGAATAGCTTGGTTGTACTGAGAGTCATCCCACTGTTAGAAGCTGTTTCTCCAATTCTGTCCTACATCTGCAAGAACTCTGTGTGTTACACACTAGTCTGGAGGTACAATGCCCACAACAATGCTTCAACTCCATTAGCTCAGTCCCAGGGACTAAAATCTCCCAAATCATGTGAACAGTAAATCAACATTCAGCTTTAAGCAAAGTCATATATAGAGTTCTCTACACGTTTATCTTAACCATGCAAATGACTAGTGTACTTACAAACTTATACTTGACACCTCATCCCAAAACTGAGGTGGGATTTGAGGGACATGAGGTGGAAATGGCCTGAATTACTTTCTAATTTTAAAACCCTAATTCTATGAAAATGATGAGTGAACTATAAAGAACAGTTGTATACTGAATATTTTTATCAAGTCCAGCACCCCCTAGAGGTTTCTAAAGTTTAAAACAGCTTACACGAGAGTTATTAAAAATAAATGTAAATATGGGTGAGGAGAATGTTCTAGAATCGACTGTGGTGCTAATGACAAAACTCATTATATGAATATACTAAAAACCACTGGAGCATACACTTTAAATGGGTGACTGTTATATGAATTACATCTTGTAAAGCTGTTGTAAATACCATGACAAGGAGACTGGGGGGTAGGAAAGCTATTATAAGGATGTAAACCTTCAAAACCTTGGTGCATGCAAACCTTAAAATTGCATCTTCCAGAATAATGACCAATTCATGGTTTCAGGGGTTCTTCAGAGCTTCAGGCCTGGTCCCCCAGCAATTAAGGGAAAAGCAATGGTTAATATACCAAACGTTTCTTCTAAAGAGAGAGAAAAACAGACTCCAGATTCTAATGAATGTTTGTCACTGCTTCAACATGGACGGATTTCTGCTGAGCCTCTCCTGGGGAGATGTGGTATATCTGGGCGCCCCTCACTCAGGTGCATCACCACGCAAATATCCCAACTGACTTCAGTGACAGCTGATGGTATTCTAGACTGCTTTAATATCTTAGGTTGAGAACAGTTTCATGTATTATTCATGTGTGACTTACATAAGTTAAAAGTTAACAGACGCCAGGCGCGGTGGCTCAAGCCTGTAATCCCAGCACTTTGGGAGGCCGAGACGGGCGGATCACGAGGTCAGGAGATCGAGACCATCCTGGCTAACACAGTGAAACCCCGTCTCTACTAAAAAATACAAAAAACTAGACGGGCGAGTTGGCGGGCACCTGTAGTCCCAGCTACTCGGGAGGCTGAGGCAGGAGAATGGCATGAACCCAGGAGGCGGAGCTTGCAGTGAGCCGAGATCGCGCCACTGCACTCCAGCCTGGGCGACAGAGCGAGACTCTGTCTCAAAAAAAAAAAAAAAAAAAAAAAGAAAAAAAGAAAAAAAAAAGAAAAAAAAAAAGTTAACAGACAAGACTTGTCTAAGAGCCTGCAGTTCGTCTTCATCTGCCTCCTGTGTGCTGGAGATACGGCAACGAGTAAGATAGGCAGGGTCCCCGGCCTCAAAAGGCTTACACTCTAACAGGCTGAGACAGCGATACTCACATAGACATGCATTCATGAGGCATCCAGTGTTATAAGGAAAAGCACAGCAAGGTGAAGTGACAGGGAGCTTCCTGACAAAGGGTGGTCAGGAGAGGCCGTTCTAAAAGCACATTTGTATTGAGGGTGAATGATTAGACAGAAGTGGCCATCCTCAACTCAGGGCTCTACGGGAGGAATGGAGTAAGGCCAGGGGGCTGGGGCAGTGAGCAAGTGGGGAGGGGTGGTTCTGATGGTGGTTTTTGGTTTTCGAGCACAATAGTCAGTAATGAGATCAGAAAGGCAGGCAGGACCAGCTCTAACCAGGCAGGGTGCACACTCTACAGAGTCTACATGGAGAGTTTCTTCCAAAGCCTTCCCTGAACCCCACATCGGGCTAAATGTTTCTACCCAGGAGCCATCTCTTAATAAAACACTGTCTTCATCCATCTGTCCCTCTTCAGATTGCAAACAGCCTCCTGGAAAGAGTGTGTATTTCGTCTTCTTTTTCTTCTCGGTGTCTAACAGTGTCTGGTATAAAGTAGACAGATGCCAGATACATGTAAAACTAAATGTGCTGTATGCCAGACACAGAACTAAGCTCTGTCCATACACTTCAGGTGAGCAAAGAGATTCCTAAGCTTCAGTAGCTAGTCCTTGACAGAAATGAGATGAAAACCCAGCTCAGGCTATGAAGTCCAGGCTCCTTCGTTTCCATTGTCTCTATAATGTAAACAGACGTGATGCAAATGGTTGGGAGTTGTGGGGGCAAGGTGGGGAGGGAGGTCATTAAGGTTAGTTTTGGTGCAGAAGATCTTTTGAAAGGGGTAGATCTTGAAGCTTAAAAAAGGGGAAAGGAAGGGAAGGGTAAGGGGGGAAATATCGGTATCACCAAAGATCCAGAAAAGATTCAATTTGATTCCTAAACACTTCTTAATCTAAAACCGGGCCCTGTGAGAATATTTGTATCTCCCCTAAAGACCCTCAAGAGCCAAACTAAGGTCTTTAAAACTCCAGCACAAGGCCTTATACACAGCAGGAGCAAAATGAAATTAGCTCAGCCTATTCAAAAGTAAGAAAAGTCACACTTACCATGTGCTCGTACACACACAGAGGTGGAAATTGCTCGCTTGCCAACTAGGCTAAATACCCTGGTAGCCAACATTCTGAAAGATAAAAATGTACACCTTCTCTATGAATAAGGGCAAACAGCAAGGAATGAGTCTTCTTTTTGCCCCAGAGCATTCTGGAATTAAATTCTTTTAGTTGCTTCTCCCCAACGCAAATGATCCATTCTTTATTACTGTCTTTGAATTCACAAAATAACCTAGGATGAGGTTTTTCTTAGTAGTTCGCATGCTTTTAAGGAGCTTCATTATAAATCAACTGCCATAATGTATACGAGCTTCAGGTAATTAACAGAACATTGGTCTTTTTAAAAAAACAAGGAAAGGCCAGGCGCAGTGGCTCACGCTGGTAATCCCAGCACTTTGGGAGGCCGAGGAGGGCGGATCACCTGACGTCAGGGGTTCGAGACCAACCTGGCCAACATGGTGAAATCCCGTCTCTACTAAAAATACAAAAATTAGCCAAGCATGGTAGTGGACGCCTGTAATGCCAGCTACTTGGGAGGCTGAGGTAGGAGAATCGCTTGAACCCGGGAGGTAGAAATTACAGTGAGCCGAGATCGCGCCACTGCATCCCAGCCTGGGCAACGAGAGCAAGACTTCGTCTCAAACAAACAAAAAAAGGCAAGAAGAAAAAATGTTAACAAAGCGACAGTGAGAAAGTTAGAGATCATTAAAGCACTGTGCTGCCGTTACAGGCTCCATTCTTCAGGGGGCGGTGGGGGGAGGTAACAGCTCACAGGGATGGTGGCACGATCACATTCAACTGAGTATTTGCTTAAAACCTAATACCGCATATACACAGACTAGAAGGGGAAATTGGAGAAGGCTGCCAACACAGCCCCGGTCAATTTCCAATCCCTGAGGAGAGCGGAAAACCTGGTAGACCCCCGCCTCACCCCGGTCCTCCTCGATTCAGGTCCATCTACCCTACACCGCCCCCTTTAAATCGACCCTTCGCAGGAATGGTGAGGGTGATGTGGGAAAATACCCTCCTCGGGGCAGAATAAACAAGCATGACGTCAGGGCTGAACGCCCGCGTCTAACTTCTCTCCTTGGGCCTAGCCCATGCGTGAGCAAACAACTGGAAACAACTGGCGCCCTCCAGGCTAGGAAGCCGAGCGCCGCCCGGGAGCCCCGCAAAACCCGGGAGGGGTTGCAGGGACCTTTGAAGGAGCAAGGGCGGAGGATGCAGGTACAGAGCGCGGGCCCGTCTCCCCACAGCCTGCGCCCTCCGCCAGCGGGCGCTCCCAAGGTCATTGCCCGAGGCCGGCCCGCAGCCGCCGCGCGACTGGCGAAGACGGACCGGGCGCTTCGGGACGGCCCTCCGAGCCTGCAGCCATGGAGGCCGGAGTCCCCGCGGGCCGGACTCAATGTCACCTGGCTCCGAGGCCCATTCAGTGTTTCCTGCGGAAGCCGGGCGGCCACGTTGCGGGCGTGCAGACTCGACGGCTCCCGGCCCCCCGACACGGCCCGGCCTTGCGGCCCCGCACCGGCCACCTCCTGCCTCACCTGCCGCCACTGCCCGCCGCGACCGCCCTCTACGCCCGGTGTCTCGCGACCGGAAGAGAGCAAGGCCGCGCCGCGCAGCACCACGGGATCGAGGAAGACTCCGCCTGCACCCGGCCGCGCAGAGGTCACCGTGGAGCGGAAAAGGGTAGCGCTGAGAACGTCGTAAAATGCCGGGCCGGGCTGCTTTCCGGCAGGCGTTGGAGAGACCGCTTTCCGGCGGCGCCGGGCGAGAAGCGCGAGTGGGGTCTGGGGCTGCGGCTTCCCAGAGGCGCGAATCGCTTTTCGAGGAGCCGAGGCACGAACGGGGCCGGGCCTGAGGGGCCCCTCACCAGCCCGCGGCCGTGCCATCAATCACCGCCGACTCGTCCCGCTTCTCGGCTGAGGCGCCGCGCGGCCGGGCAGCGGGTCCAGGCCTCAGCCGCGCGCCCAGGGGCCTCGGGGCCCTCCCGGGTCAGCATGCCCGGGGTGAAGCTGACCACCCAGGCCTACTGCAAGATGGTGCTGCACGGCGCCAAGTACCCGCACTGCGCCGTCAACGGGCTCCTGGTGGCCGAGAAGCAGAAGCCGCGTAAGGAGCACCTCCCCCTGGGCGGCCCGGGCGCCCACCACACCCTCTTCGTGGACTGCATCCCCCTCTTCCACGGCACCCTGGCCCTCGCCCCCATGCTGGAGGTGGCCCTCACCCTGGTAAGCGCGGAAAGGGCCCCTTCCCCGCCCTTGCAGGCAGCCTGGCCTCCCCTCAGTCAGCAGAGAGGCAGCTGGTTCAGCTGGCTCAGCGGTCGCCCTCCAGCAGGCTCCTAGGACCCGCTCCCTAGGGTCGCCGTGGCCAGGAATGGGGTGATCCACGATGGCGCTTGGGTCTTGGCGCTGAATAAATAGCGTCTCGTAGTAGCAGCGACTTTAACCGTCGTGGATGCTTTTAGAGGCGCTTTAAGGCGACGAGTTATACGTTAGTTTCCTGAAATCAGTAGCCTTTGTAGAAACAAGTCATCGTTAATTTGGTTTCGACAAGGATTCGACAAGAGTTTCCATTGAGGATTTCGAGTTGCAGGAAGTTTTCACGTTGTTGGGACATTAATCGCTAGCATTTGGTTCTTCGCACCTTCACAGAGCCGATTCCTTATCTGGCAAAGTGTAAATGCTGTGGTTCTTTGGCTGTCGGTACTCGGGCACCCCGGAGCTCGGACGCTTTTAGAAAGGTAGAGTTGCCAGATCAGAGCTGTGTCTTCCCGTGATGCATGTCAGGCCTCGCTCCCCTTGAATGTGCCTGACCTTATGTAAGGAGAATTTGTTCCCGTTAGTGGTTAACAACTTACCTAGAATGCTTCCATGGCTTTTAAAAGCTAGAGAATTTCTATGGGGCCGGGCGCGGTGGCTCACGCCTGTAATCCCAACACTTCGGGAGGCCGAAGCAGGCGGATCACCTGAGGTCGGGAGTTTGACACCATTCTGACCAACATGGTGAAACCTCGTCTCTACTAAAAATACAAAAATTAGCCGGGCGTGGTGGTGGGCACCTGTAATCCCAGCTACTCGGGAGGCTGAGGCCATAGAATCGCTTGAACCCAGGAGGCAGAGATTGCAGTGAGCCGAGATCCTGCCACTGTACTCCAGCCTCGGCAACAGAGCAAGACTCCGTCTCAAAGAAAAAAAAAAGAATTTCTGTGAAATTAAACAGCAGAGCAGACGATCTGTCCAACACGCTTTTATGTTTTTGTTTGCAGTGACAGCTTTATTGAAGTACAGTGGGAAAAAGATGTAGCATGCAGGTAGACTAGTTGGTAATTGAATTTTAGACAGTAGCTTTTCAGTTACTGTGATGAATGAAGGGAAAAAGACCATCTATAAATTCTATCGAGTTGTTAAAACCTGAAGGAAAAGTAAACTGTAGCCTCAGACCTACATACTTGAACTGAGATGCTGTTTGTTTTTCATTTAAAAATATACTGTGATGCCAAAAAATAGTAGCTAATTCATGTAAGAAGTAGCTAAGCTTGAGAAGGTGTAAATAGAATTTCTTTATCTGTGTCCCCGCCACCAAGTAAAACGAAACCATTTCATAATCTGCCATTTCATAATTTACCTAATTATGACACCCAAGTCAGTTGTGGGCAAGCAAGAAGTATCTTTGGGCAAACAGTCCTGGCGTAAGGTTACTGGGCACATCTTTGAGTGCTGTTGAAGTTAAACTTCATATCATTTCCGGGTAGGATTCAGATGATTATAATACTTAGGTGATATTTATAAAACCAAGTATTTTAGCTCTTGAAGAAATGTGCTGTCAGTACTGAAACACCACTGGGGGGTGTGTGTGTATGTTTTAATCCAGGTCTTTCCAACCATCTTTTTGTTTTTTTGAGATGGAGTTTCGCTCTTGTCACTCAGCCTGGAGTGCAGTGGCATGATCTCGGCTCACTGCAACCTCCACCTCCCGGGTTCAGGTGATTCTCCTGCCTCAGCCTCCCGGGTAGCTGGGAATATGGGCACCCACCACCACACCCAGCTAATTTTTGTATTTTTAGTAGAGATGATGTTTCACCATGTTGACCAGGCTGGTCTTGAACTCCTTACCTCAGGTAATACGTCCGCCTCCATATCCCAAAGTGCTGGGATTCCAGGCATGAGCCACTGCACCCAGCCTTTCCAACCATCTTAATTGTTCTGTTATCAAGAGAATTATTGGATCTGTGAAATGCATTGACTTGCAGGGAGCTAGATTCATCAGTAGCATTTATGCAGGATTATTCACTTTTCTTTCTTTCTTTTTTTTTTTTTTGTTTGTTTTTTTTTTGTTTTTTGAGACGGAGTCTCGCTCTGTCGCCCAGGCTGGAGTGCAGTGGCGCGATCTCGGCTCACTGCAAGCTCCGCCTCCTGGGTTTACGCCATTCTCCTGCCTCAGCCTCCTGAGTAGCTGGGACTACAGGCGCCCGCCACCGCGCCCGGCTAATTTTTTTGTATTTTTAGTAGAGACGGGGTTTCACCGTGGTCTCGATCTCCTGACCTTGTGATCCGCCCGCCTCGGCCTCCCAAAGTGCTGGGATTACAGGCGTGAGCCACCGCGCCCGGCCTTCACTTTTCTAATAAATGTTTTTGAGTGTCTGCTTTGCGCCAGGCCTGTGCTGAGGAGGGATATGGCTGTGGGTGAAACACAGCACCTGCTTAGCACTTGAAGGTGCAGCAAGCCAACAGGCACAGTACCTGAACCTCACAGGCGGAACTTAGTAAAAAAGCAGCAAGGGATTTGAGAGAAGTCAGCCAGCCTAGGCTTGGGCAATCAGGGCAGTCAGGTTGCCCAGAAAAAGGGTCATGCAAGTAGTGGGCCAGCCCTTGACCCTCAGGAGATGGGGGATGGAGGGAGGGTATTCAAGGTACCAGCATGTGCGAAGAGCAGGAGAAAATAGTGGGCGGAAGAGGAAAGCGGGTAGGGGAGTTTGGAGAGAGCAATAGGATGGAGTGTAAAGGGGCGGTGGGCAGAGAGAGTTGAGTGGTGGACAGGTTGCTTTGTAGTGACCTTGTAGATCATGCAGAGGCATTTGGGCACCATCCTGAGGACAGATGGAAGCCACTGGAGGAGAGTTGCATGATCAGATCTGTGCCTTCAAGTGATGGCCCCAGCCTTTAGCAGAGAGGATGCTGGAGACAGGAGTACACCCTACACCCAAGACTAGAGGCAGGGAAGTGGCGGAACTGAGTGCAGCTTGGGTATGGAGAAGGGGACAGAAGAAAGGGCAAGCGGGAGAATCCACAGGTCTTGGTGACTAATCGTGCATGGACCTAGGGGAAAAAGAAGTGAGGGTGATACCTAGGTTTCTAGCTTGTGCGCTGGGACAATGGTGCGGTGGTGCCATTTGTTGAGGGAAGAGGCAGAGAAACAGGTCTGGGAGGGGGTGATTACTTCTGATTGGGGTATGTTAAGTTTGAGATGTTCAAATGAAGAAGTCCTAGGTTGAAAGGTGAAGAATGGGTCTGGGTTCAGAGACCAGAGATGTAGATTGAGAACCAGCGGTGTGCCAATGACTTCTGAAGCCATGAGAGCAGGTCATAGCGCTTGGGGACTGCGTAGGGAGAAGCTCTCCAACTTTATGTTTCCTCTGCTCTCACCGCCAACAGTCAACACAGAAGAAGACTTTCCCACACACCAAGCAGCAGGCACCAGCTAGGTGTCCCCGCATTCTGTTCTGACACTACCTACCTGGAGATAGTGTCAGAGCCCACAGGTTGAGGGCTCAGCAGCAAGTCCGGGCTCTGTAACTTCTGACCCACCAGCTTCGAGGTGGGATTTCCTTGGCCTTCTGTTTGGATTTGATTAATTTGCTGGAGCAACTCACAGAGCTCAGGGAAACCCATTTATGTTTATCGGTTTATTATACAGGACGCTGCAAAGGATACAGATGAAGAGACACGTAGGGCGAGGTATGGGGAAGGGGCAAGGAAGCTCCCCGCCCTCTTGCGTTTTTATGGGAGCTTCATGACATCAGCATTCCTTCCCCCTGGGTCTAGGGGGGGACCCTCTCCTGGAGGGTCTTAAGACCCACCGTCAGCAAGACTGAGAGGGGAGCAATGGAGTGGAAGGAGGGCAGGAGAAGGTGGGGTCCTAGCACCCCTGAGGCTCACACACCTGGCATTCTAACAAGACTAACCAGGGCCGTGAGGAGCCAGGAACGGGCAGGAAAACCAGTATCTCTCATCACACCCCAGGAACGTGGTGTGGGGACACTCTGGCTTTTATGGGTTGAGTGGAGGAGGAGTCACAGAGCAAATAAGGACCAGCCCAGGGGTGGGAGAAGAAGGTGTGGCTGCTAGCCATGTAAAATCCTGTCAGAAACTTCTAGGAGCTTCTTGAAGACAAACTTGAACCTCACTTGGAATGTCAGATACCGCTTATTCTTCTCATTCTTAAGTAGCCTTGACAGAGTTGAACACTTCTGTTCCGACTATGGGATATGAATGCAGTACTTGACAGAGTTAAACCCAGGAACTGTAAACAACTGCATTCAAGTCACCTGTACATGAATTTTCCCCGGGGAGCAGGGCTGCCTCCCAAACCACTTACCAGGGAGGGAAGATGCCCAGAGGGGACCTTGACTGAGCGTGAGAGGGCACCGGGCACCGCAGGGGCCCCCTCTGACCTTGCTCCCGCACCTTGTTCCTAAACTCTGCACTGTAGACATCCAGCCTCCAGCACCTCCGCCCACCACATGAGTCCACATCCAGCAAGTTAGGGCCACACTAGACTCCCTGCAGTAACTACTCTTCAGCAGTGAAAACAAGCAGTAAGTTTTGCTAAGCAGTAGTTATTTGTACTGACTCTTCCGAGATGGAGTCTCACTCTGTCGCCCAGGCTGGAGTGCAGCGGAGTGATCTCGGCTCACTGCAACCTCCGCCTCCCAGGTTCAAGCAATGCTCCTGCCTCAGCCTGCAGAGTAGCTGGGACTACCAGCGCACACTGCCCTCCCGGCTAATTCCTTTTTATTTTAGTAGGGACGGTTTCACCGTGTCTCCCAGGCTGATCTCTATCTCCTGAGCTCAAGCAATCTGCTCGCCTCACCCCCCCAAAGTGCTAGGATTACAGACGTGAGCCACCATCTCCGGCCCTAACGAGAATTTTCTCATTCACGAAAACTCATTCCCTCAGCAGTTGACAAATATGAAAAAGACAGCAATCCAGTGCCCATGAAATAACTTTC